ATGCCTCTGGCGGGACTCGAACCTGCGACCTCTCGCTGTCAAGGCGAGTGTCATAACCACTAGACCACGGAGGCTTCATGGTTGAACAGATTCAAATACCACCAGATACACTCTGGTGGTATATAATATATATATATATATATACATACACATGCATACATGCACACATACACACCCACACACACCCCCCCCCCTTAAATCCGCACCTGTATGCTGCAGTAAATGTTAAATCTCACCTGTCTTTTTGCTTCCAGTGATTATCTTCATCCTTAGCGAGGTTTCTATTTCCTCATTAAGAAATCTGTGACGTAGGCCTGGTAATAACTCCATTGAACACTCGTGGGATGCTGAGAAGAAAATGGGATTGGTGACCATTCCAGATGCGAATCTACAAAAAGATCCATCAGCAAGGGGCAGAAGTTCGAAATTGTAAAGATCAGCAAAGTTATTCTCATCGTCTAGTAAGTATTCCAATAAAGTGATCTTCTTACTGCGGTCTAGATTGCCTAGGGGGACATTTCGTAGGGTGCTTCGAACTAGACTAGGGGTGATCCACTGAATCGTGTAATCACTATGTGTCTGAATAGCCTTCATGACGTGTGGATGATTTCTGGTAGAGACAATGGGTACGTTGCACTCTAATAGTAGTCTCACGATAAATTCTTCCGTTCTCTTTTGAGTGTCCTCAGGGAGATCAAATATGGCTGTGTTTATATTTAACCACTTACCACCTTCAATTTCACTGAAGAACACATCTTCTTTTAGCAGAACATTGAACAATTCAGGACACATTAGCTCCTTCCATGGGAATTTCACTTTGTCCACATCAGGCCATGTCTGGTAGATGCAATCGACAGAAACCTCTCTCGTACTGTACTGCTTTATTGCATGAAGTATAAGTCGAGTGTACGCTTTTGGGAAAAGTTGCTGAAGGAGAAGCTTGTTCCATTTTGACATTTTATCATTACGATCTTCAACTGGCCATTTGATTGTGCGTCGGTCATCACTAACACCAAAATCGGCATTTACGTGTACAGGTAACCCGCTATTGTTTTCGGATGGTGGAAGTGGTAGAAAGCAACAAGTCCTACCTTCAAGCAGTGATGATGCCCCAACGCAATTTTTTGCACTAAATGTCCGCATAGCTACTCCTACCAATGGCAATCGATCATGTTCTTTTGCCAATGTAAGTAATTCGGATGTAATATCCGATCCTCCCAAATAGATGCTAATCATCCATTTGTATTCAGCAGGCGTTGAACAATTTTCTACAACTTCAACATGCATTGGAAATATTGTCGAAAAAGATGTGTATTCATTGCCTTGTAGCTGTTTACTCCTCTTAATTGCTGTCACTATGTCTTCCCTTGATTTCTGAACTATGTCTGTAGTTCTACCAGAAATGCTAGCAGAAAATAAAGGAACTTCTTTGTCGGTGAGAATTTCTCCGACCGTTATACTACGTATAGTTTTCAAGAACAATAGTAGAATTTTTGCATCATCGACAAATAAATCAAAGAGCCTTTTCACATCGTCACCATTTATCACATTCTCTGAGACAACTGAACGTTTTCTTCGGAGAGGGAATCGAAACATCGCTCCAGTAAAAAACTGCCCTTCGATCAGGCCTAGTTGATCTTTAAATAAGTTCTTGTATGGTTTAAACTGGTCAGAGAATTTAGGATCCTTAAAAACACTTGCCCTTTTGTGGATGTCTAGTTTTCGTCCTCGCTGAACTTTTCCATTGTAAATGAACAATGTCTCGCTAGGATCCATAAATGCAAGGTAGTTTCCGCTTACAATGCTAGGCATATCTATAGATGAAGATAATATGGCAACCATGATATTTTTTTTTTTAATTAATTACAAAAGAATATTCTAAATGCACTGGTATCATCAGTCAAATTGCTATAATGTACAATTTTGAAACTGGGTTGCATGTTTCATTAAATTTTGGGAGTAGAAATTTGTAGGTCATTGAAGCTTACCTGTCATGTGATACACAGACACAAATCCCATCCCAAAGCGACCCACTTTAGTTGGATCATCCTTCTTTTCAGATCTTGACAAATTCTGTATGCTTGTCCAATCCTTTTTCATGAATGTTGCATCATTGTATGCGCATAAAGCTGGTCCTTGGTATGGTGACAAATCACCAATCCCTTCACCACAATACAGGTTATTTGTGCCGTGCTGCCGGCCATCGTACAAAAATCGTACTGTGGTGGCGCAAGCATCATCTGCATTCTGTGTCAGCTCCTGTTAGGAAAAACACTAAGCATTTACTATTAAGCCAGACACTTACTCCACCTGACAATCCTTAGCTAACACAGAACACAACGCCCCAAACACAAGCAATAATACATACAGGATGTCAAACGGCATCATGTCGTTAATTTTGAGAAGTAGTGATGCATAAAAAATAACCCGAATACTGAAACACATATCATATAATTTAAAGTGGTGTGGTGGTGATGGTAAATGTGATGACGATTATGACGTCAAAGATCTTCAATATTAAATAAATACCCACATAATTTAGAATTTCAATTTTATGCCTAGGTAAGTACAGAATCTTACCTTTAGTAATTGACCCTCCGTGTAATTTCGAAGAATTTGTTTTACATAGTCTACCAACGGCGGCTCCTTTTGTCCGAAACAGAAATCATCTGACAAAGTAAATAATTATTTATTTTGGTATCAATGGCAAATATACTCATGGTAATGTGTTATTGAATATAATGAATAATTATAATGACGATAATATTAAAATTCAATAATTATTTACGTTTGGTCACAGATAAACTGGCTTGACAAAGTGTCAAACCTCCGCTTAGACACATCACTAACCAAAAACTGATTACATGCAAAATATGTGCATCTCATTTGCATTTCTTTGGACACCCTCCCCCACCCCACCCTCAAGAAGCAATCTACATTATTACAGCCACACCAACTGGGACCCGCCAATGACGGCGCTCCGTATGAGATGGTTCGATGGGAAGAATTCCTGGTCATTTCTGCTTGAATGTGCACGACCAATACATTCAATGCAATACCATCATACCAGGTATCAATATACTCCTGGATGGAGAGGGGCGAACGTCAGTAAAGTGCAGTGCCCAAAGACACAAGCAATGCGAATAGTGCTCTCTCGAACTCCACAGTAGTTACGATTAAATTACTTACAGTACCTGTATTTTAGTAGTAAGTTCGCTATACCTTGTTTAGCGAACACTCCAACCACCAAAAATGGCGATTTCAAATACAATTACAGGACTGTACTATTCTTTTCTAGTTAGAGCACCCTCCATCGCGAAAAATGGAAATAAAAAAAATAAAAAAACCGTTTTATTTATTTTTATTACGCCCTCTTCTCCAATGAAATCTAATAATAATAATAATAATAATAATAATAGTACGGCAATAATAATAATAATAATAATAATTTATATTATAAAAAAATTGACAATTGATATATGGAATATATTATATTTTCTCTTCCGACTAGATACTTAAAATTAGCAAAATATTGTTCCTAAACAGGAAAACACTTTTTTGCACTCCTCTGACCTTAAAAAATTATTTCACAAGGTATCAAAAAATAATCTCTCCAAAGAATCGTGCTTGCAAGATGACTGAAAGATTTACGCTGTCTCCTGTCGTATTTAATACCAGTTGGTATAAAGAGGGCGCACTCCAATTTCATCCGTAAATATAGGTAAATTTGAGGCTATAGCTGGCTAAATAAACATTTAAAAAATTCTATCCTTACCGTCATCATCAGCAGCGGACATTGTTGCAATTTGCGGTCTTTACTCAATCTATCTCACAAATTTATCTCAAAATCACCAGCATCTATAAAGCAGATATACATGGAAAAAATTAAATTGTTTTTTTAATTTAAAAAAATTCAAAATTATTTTCATGCAATATTTTATTTCATAAATAATAAATTGTTTGTCGTCAAACCATAGTCTCAGAAATTCACGTCATATGCACTTCCTAAAGCCCCTCTCCCACTAGGGGTTTTTTCAGCATACGAGTTACAAGAGAATGCCGAGTTGCTAACTCGGCAAAAACTCGTAGGACGATTCGGAAAGCTCGGGGAGGACTCTTACCTACTCGTAGCAGCTCTGAACTCGTGGCGCTAATTTTGAACATGTTCAAAATTATCGCCACGAGTAGATAACTCGTAGTAAACTCGAAGAACTCGTAGGTAGCTCGTAGAGTACTCTGGGTACTCCTACCTAGCTCGTACACTACTCTGGATACTAGTCAGCGGTTTTGTCATCTACGAGTTTGATGCGAACACCCAAAAACGAGTACGAGTAAGTACGAGCGCACCGAGTTGACTCGTACCTAACTCGTATCTAATTAGGTACAAACTTGTTACGCTCGTAATAATCTCGTAGTTAACTCGGTGCTCTGCTCGGCATAATTCGTACATAACTCGTAACCAACTCCATAAAGTCGTACCTCACTTGTAGCTAACACGTAATAAGCTCGTATAGGTCCTTTCCAAAGATCACGAGTTTTAACTCGTAGAAATCGTACGACTCTTAGGTGAAATAAACCTAGGTGGGAGAGGGGCTTACCATCCCATGTGAATATAAGATCGATTTTCGTCTGGGCTGGTGCAAGTAGAACGCAACTCAATGATGCGTGCGCAACTAATATTTTGTTGGCACATGAAAACTGTAATGAAATAGTTTATAGGCCGCCACCACTTGCAATTGGCCTATTGTTTCTTGTTAACTTATGATTTTAGAAAAAACATTTTCAGCAATCAGCAATGATGACACTGTGAGAAAGAATCAATACAACAACTGATGGCAAATTATCGTTAAAAATGAACGTAAGCAACAAGAGAATGCGAAGCAAGTGTGGATGGCGGTTAAGAAGGTTGCAGGGCACAGTAGTAGATTCGACTCAATAGATATGTTAAAAATTTACCACACGAATAAAATATATGAGCGGCACTGGTTAAAGACAATTTGAGTTCTTGCTTTGAACAAGGTATCCATTCGTAGAAGTCTTATGAATATAATCTTTAAAATAGTGACGTTAAGGGGTCGGGACCAGAACATACCTCCAACTTAAGACAAATTAGGCCTATATGTATTTTGTACATATTGAGACTCTAAAATCGATTAAGTAAGCCTTGAGTACCACACTTAATAACATATGAGCTTAAAATATTTTTTCTTGCACTTTTTGAGGGGCGGTATTTAAACGGGGCGCATATTATTTAGAGTGGAAATTGAGGGGAAGAAAGAGATAAAAATTAAGGCGTGCTTAGAAAACGGGAAAATTAAAGGAGCGCTTTTTGAATAAAAAAAAAGAGAGATTATATAAGACATTGGAAATCGAAAAAAAAAAAGCGAATGGTTCTGGTGCAGTTGTCTAGAGTATGGCTCATGACAAGAATGCTGTGGGTAGGCCTATTTAGACAAACAGCAGACGAAGTTAGTAGTTGCCAATGCCAATTGAGATTAGTAGGATTATTCTTGCAAACCTCAGATGAAGGCGTGCTAAAGGAGCGAAATACACTCAGTCAAAAGGGCATATATTGAAATAAGAGGGGCACTTATTCAAACGAGGCGCTTATTCGATCGCGCGAGTACGGTAATCCCATAAATCGGTAAAATAGCCGTAAAGTAGATCGTATAGAAAGAACCATAATAGTACTATAATACTCGAGCGTCTCGATTTGAGAAGGGCCTGCTCTTGTTCCTCGTAATTTTAACTTGGTATCGTATCGAATTCGAGTCAACCCGAGACGGCCCAATGCAGGGGCGGCGCTAGCAGGAGTCCAAGGGGAAAAGGACACCGTCTGGAACCTCTGGACCCCCCGCTTCTACCACCTGTCGGGGAATTTTCAGCAAGGTTGTCGGGGAAATTGTAATTTCGACCAGGAGTGGCTTCGCGGCCGGCGGGGCCATCCCCTTCCCCGTCGGGGAGAGCTGCCCTCCCCCCGTCGGGGAGAAAAAGCACAATTCGTCGGTATGTATTTTTTATATATTAGTACACTCTAAAATCGATTAAATAAGCCTTTGAAACTCCTAAATTGTTGGAATTTTTGGGGCTTCGCCTCCCCCCCCCCCAGGACCACCTTGGGACCTTTCAATCGAAGCTCGACCACGCCCACTTTGCTTTCGTCGGGGAAATCTGACACCTTGGCGGGGGAACCGGCTCTCCCGTCAGGGACCTCGGTCACCCCCGTCGGGAATCCTGGCACCACCCCTGATTTCGACCGCCGAAAATACAATTTTCAGGCATGCTTATTACTAAGCTGTTGAATTATAGGATTAAAAACTGTCTAGTGCAAGCAGTGCTACTATGCGAGGTGTTGTATTATCGCGATCGTATGGGATGCGGTGGTAGCGTCAGGTTTTCTCCGACATGGGTGGGGTACCTCCAACAGGTGGTGAGTAGCCGGACATTGCATGGCTTTCTATCAAATTATCCTTTTTAAATAAAGAATACCATAGTCAACATACAACCATATGTGGGGGGGGGGGTTGTGGACCCCTTGTCGGAGCTTGGAACCCTTGTAGGGGAGCTTGGACCCCTCGTTGAGGAATTCCTAACGTTTAATGTAAATGTTTCGTACAGGAAAAATCGCTCCAAGGGGAGTATCCCAGCGCTTGTACTCAAGCACAAAACGCTCTGCCATTTTGGCAGGTCTTATGGCATCCAGTATTTTAGAGCTGCCTATTCTCAGCTCTTCTCTTAATTTGAAAATAACTGTCACCCTGTTTCATTTCATGAAGAAAAACGCGCTTTTCCTTACTCTTTGTGCTTCCCAGAAAGCGTTTTTAGTACTTAGTGGGCCTAGGTAATTATGCAAAACCCAGGCCTAACTTAAAAATTATAATTGTCATAGTATGTAACTCAAGTTGAAATAACACTTTTCATTACTCGTGCAGCTTAATCAAATATTGTCATTTTAAACGACCCATTGGTATTAACATGGTAACAATGTTTTAAAAATTAGACAGCGACGTTCTCTCAGAAGTTGTTTTGTAGACGTTTATCTGTTGATGACCTTTTGACCTCCTGATTTCTGCAATGAGATTTTCGGGTCGATTCATAGCCGAGACAGCCCGAGTGGAGTTTCATGTAAATGTTTCGTACGGGAAAAAAAATCGCACCCTGGGGGACAGTAGACAACAAATGTGGTAATTGCGTGTTCATGACCCTTGAAGCTTGTCACAACCTTTGCTGGAATTATCTTGCATACATTCTTGTTGCTGATCTGATTTTTTGATGATTATGGTCGACATTAAATTACTGTAATTTATTTACTCCATGACGTGAAATAAATATTTTCAAGTAGACCAACATTTACGGAAATTACGTTAACAGAGGACTGTGGCAATTAAACTGCACATTTACTTTTTACATAAAACAATATTTGGAACGCAACTTACCTTTTAATCTATGTGAACTACCACCGCTTTAATCTACTTTGAATTAGGAACTATAACCTATTTAATCTGTCTAAAATTAGAAACTGGGACCAAGGAATTAAGATTGAAAATGTGGCTTAAACTAAAAAACAAAACAAAAAGTAAAAAAAAAACAAAAAACAAAAATTAAAAAACAAAATGTGCACAAAACATTCCAATTAATCTGAGATTAGGAATACTGTACCATTTAATCAAGTCAGATTTAAATTAAATCTTTATAGGATAGCGCTAGTGGGAGGGGGAGACGCCGTGTCTTGGGATCGACAGGGAGAAAAACCACAATGGGGAAAAATTATATGTATTTGTAAAATATTAGAGACTCTTAAATCAAATCCTTTGAAACATTTTATCATATTTTTCGGGGCTTTACCCCAAAACTTTTTAAACATTTTAAGCGACAACCGACTCGGTCTTGTTGGGGACATCGTCCATCCGTCAGGGGCCTCGTCCTAACCCCGTCGGCAAATCCAGACGTCACCTCTGCTTATTCATTCATATTTCTATTAATAATAATAATAATAATAATAATAATAGTAATTTTTCAGCTTCAGTTTCTATTAATTATGCATTTTCTTTAAATTATTTTAATTTTTCCAACAATCCATAATGATGCTCAGGATTTAATTCAATAGTCCAAAACAACAAAAATTAAATTAAATCCATCGAAATGCACATCCATCAATTTGTTTTCAGAACCACCTCCACCCCCCCCCCCCCCCAACACTCATCATCAAGATCTAATTATGATGAATAATGCTGACATAGAAGTTGTAATTGTAACTAAACCTCTGGGTGTTTGGTTTCAAGACGATCTGAAATGGGGCAGAAATATAAAAGAATTAATAGCTAAAGGTAGCAGTTGTCTCCATAATGCTGACCTAGTATCAATGTAATATTGTTGTTACGTAAGACCTTCACTTGGATATGCCGTCCCTGTATGGCATTCAGGGTTAACTGTTGATCAATCTAGGGCCATACAGCATGTGCAAAAAAAAAGGCCATGTAAAATTATCTCAGCAAATGATTATCAGGGGCGGATTTAGGGGGGGGGGGCGGCCCGGCCCCGGCCATCCCCTTTTGGGAGGTTAAAAAAAGGAAAAAAAAGAGAGAAAAAGAAAAAAATGATAGGCCAGAATGCCTCAAATGTTATGTTCGGGCGTCTAGAACACAAAAATTTCGCGGGGGCCCCGGACCCCCTACGACAGTGTTGTCTCAATCGGCCCAACTTTCGGCCCCCCTCCCGGCCCCCCCCCTTTTGGATATTTCTGGATCCGCCCCTGATTATATCAATTACGATGAATCGCTTATTATGCTTGAATATCCAGTTGAGTGACAGAAGAAATAACATTTGTAAAATGATTACTTAACAGTTTAAAATTAATTCCTCATTTACCCAATCAAAGTAGTATCTAAGAAAGATGCGAAAGTTCCAACTACCCCAAAGTAGTCAACAGACGCGTCAATAGTGCAATCCCATATCTAACTGCCACTTTGATTGATCTCGGAATGTATGCATATATCTCGACTTTCCGTACGTGATGCCTTATGATAACCTGGCAATACTGTAGATAACTTTTTGTGAGGTTTTCATTTCACTTCATTTTTTTAGGCACGACACAAGCGCCAAGGATATGACAACGTGGCGCTTACGTGTGGCGTATCTAGAAGTCTTGAAGTGGAGGTAAGGTTGTATCCCCTTCCCTTGTATTCGCCAATCTCTCTCTGACATCACACAGCCGTTACGCCACTGTGGCTTTTTTTTATTATTATTTTTTAAGATTAAGTTATTTTTTTTTTTGGTTAAAAATTAGTAAATAAAGAAAGAAATCAATACTGTAACCTGAAAATTAAGGCGTTTACCAGTAATTTTCGTGGGAATTTCCCCGAGATCTCGGGAATTTCCAATTTTACGGTATGGCTATACTCAGTGCAGTGCCGGATTAACCATTAGGCAAGTAATAAGGCACAAGCCTGTGGGCCAGGCGAAAATGATGGGCCATCAAAAGTTGGACTGCAATATTATTTACACTCTATTTTCCGGTATTATTAGGCCAGAAAACTCGGAGACATTCTACTGTTAGAGTTGTGGCAGAGTAACTCTTTTCTCCGACACGAAAAATTTTGTAATCACGGTCGCTGGGGTGGATTTTTACATTTCGTAATTATTACCATGGGGTCCATTCAATAAACATTTTTGGGCCATTTCCAAAATGTGCCTTGAGGCCAGACGATGCTTAATCCGGCACTGGCTATACTTGTCAGATTTCAATATACTGTATTTATCAAATGGACGTACAGTATTGCTTTCTTTATACAATGAACATGAACGCGCCAATAGGCCTATTCAGTTTAATAATCATTAATTAAGCTTAAACTCACCTGTTGGATCACGCCTAAACAAAATCGCTTCCATTGTTCAAAATGAAGTATATTGAAACAGTGTCGGCGTTTGCATAAAATAAGTGAATTCATGAATGCGCGATTTGTACACTATAATATTGTATCGTTAAAAATGTGTGACTGCTCTTTTATGATTCGTCAGAATGCTATCATGTGAACAAAATGGGCTGGCTTAATTTTTCTGGGAATTCCCAATGTCTTCAGGTAATAATTTTACCATTTCATTTGCAAAAACATTTCTTAACAGAAATCGTAGACACTCCCCTGCGCCCTCAGTAATTTGCAAGCACCCCCCCCCTCTAAAAATATTTATAATTTCCCCAACTGTTTCACTCGCCGCCTAAGTCCAGAACAATTTGTGAATGGCTGAAATAATAATGAGACGTCCAGTGACGTATCTGAGAGACGTCGCCCCTCCCCTAAAAAATCGTTTTGGCCCTTACAAACTCGCCTCCCCAGTCGACCTCCCACGACCCCCAATTTCGAAAGCAAAAAGAAATCAAGCAGGTAACATTTTTTTAACATCTTTTTCAAAAAAAAAAAAAAAATAAGTAGGTATGGCCCATAAAACCAAATTTTTCACAAATTAAAATTGTAATATGCACATTACTATCATGGGCTCCTAATAATGCACCCCTCCAGCACCCACGCCTCATTGATACGCTACTGCAAACATCCTAGCCCGTACGTAATACTGAATAAATTGATTTTATTTCTAGGGTCAGTATCATTAAGTACTATGCTATTTTTTGTGTTACTTTAAGTATTTAATTTCATTAAATTTTCTTAAATATTGTACATTATTTCTTATTAATGCATTAATTATTTTATACTTTCGTATAAAGTACATGATACATCATGTAGCATAGCGCTCAACGAATGCTGTCTTATAAATTTTGTAATAAAATGTCTGACAGGATTTGAACCTGCGACCTCTTACTGTCAAGTCGAGCGAGATCATTAGACCACAGAGGCATCATGACTTAACAGATTCAATTATTGAATTATGTAAACAACATCGGAAAAAATCAAACAAGCTAGGCCTAATAAGCAGACAAAGTTATTCAATAATAATTGTTAAAAACAATGCATTGAACGATTGCATGAATAATTAATTTGATCAATTTGACAATTTCTTTTTAAAAATTGAAGTACATTTTTATTGCAAATAAAACGTAAACATTAAACCAGTCCATTGTATCCAACCAACTACATATAATTCATTAAAATATTTCAAAACATAATCAATTAATTTGATCACTTTGACTGAATTTTCATTTTATAGCAAAGAAAATGTAAACGTAAAACAAATGTGTAGATAAATTTAATACCAAACGATCCATGATTACTATTTAAAACTACTATATGCTAGGACAAATATAACCAGTTAAAAAATCAACATTGCATACAACTTACTTTAAGTGTAATGTTAATGAAGAACGCTATTTTTGGAATTACGACGTGTTTGCTGCTAATTACAAATTAGCAGCAAATACCAAAAAATAGTAGTCATCAAAAGATTGAACAATTAAATTAAAAGCAAATATCATACCATTGGTATTTTATAAATCATTTAAATATGGATCTATTATTATTATTATTATTATTATTATTATTATAGGTTTATGATTTAAACAGCCATGGCACTTCTAAGAATGGACCTATTATAAAGTTATTATTACGTCCATGTTCTAAGCATGAAGTTCACCCTAAGTCCTAAACTATACAGAAGCGTGTTTTACAATTGTTTCAGTGAACGAAATAAGTGGAGTGTATGAACGTGCAAATCAAACATACTATCAACGCTGTTGGGTGAGGGGGTAGTATAAAGAATCTATATAAAATATGGTGCATAAATGACCAACATTAAACAGTTTGTGAAAAAGAAAAATCATTGGTAAGTCTTATTATGCATTATTATGATATTATTGTGAAAGCAAACGTATTGCTTTAATCAGACATTTATTTATCAATCATTAAGATAAGAATATCTTTCAAAATTAAATTAATTTGAAAGCAAAAATGATCACTAAACGTATTGCTTTTATCAGATATTTAAAAGCAAATGGAACTAAAATTTAAACTACCATATTATATGTTGACCCAGTCCAATTTTTTGGCAAGCATAATATATTTACATTTATCAATAATTAAGATAAGAATGCATTTTTATACTGTAGTATTAAATTAAATGGTACTGTACTGTAAACACTACTGACAGCTAAATATTTGAAATTTAACAGCAGACTGCAACTTCCAAATGAATTAAGTACAATAGAGTGCATAGATATATATCTTCTTAATCAAAATAATGCCTAATCCAGAGAATAAAGGTCTGCACACGCTATTAACATAAAACGAATGCATGGTAAATAACTGTTTAAGTGACATTTATCAATCGTTATGTATGTTCTTCAAGATAACATGCTACGTTAAGTAAATACCCGTTAAGCACAAGTGGAAGTACAGAATGCATTAAATGCTCGATTAAGCGCCGCTCTCAAAACAACGCGCCACAAAATCTAATTTTTTTTTTGCTAAGCGCCGCTCTGAAATAAGCGCCGTGCGCGGAAAAACAGGGTTGTAAATGCAAGGTATAGTGTTAAAATGAATAAATAGCACACGAGCATTTCTATAAAAATGTTTTTTTACGATAACCTGTGATGATAGACCAGGCCCTACTGAATTGCGTGGGAATAAGTGAGATAGGGAACATGCGAAAGTACATGGAAAGCGCCACGACAATATATTTTTATAAGCGAAAAGTCATGTTGGACGTGCCAATTCATGCAAATCATGCATTATAATATTGTTTCTTGTATGCCTCTCCTTAAATTAGTAAAACTAATCATATGCTTAGGCCTACAAAACAATTGTAGGCCTACATAATTATAACAGCGAGGTTGCTGAACGTTACGGCTACTAAAAGTCATGGAACACATCTATGCGCAATTCAGCAGTGACGCTAGAAGTTATTGGTTATTGTCTTTATTCTACCTTTACGATCTATAAATCATTAGAGATACAAAATATAGATAGAAGAAACTCTTATATTAATATAATGTATAAAAATATGTTGCTTTTTTATCTAATCATCTTACTATAAGCCTAGTTTTCTAAATACAGTATTCCATAAAAATCTAGTATCTACTACGAACATAGATTTGTAATGAAATGTCTATCCAAAAAATAGTCCATTACGAGTAGGCTTATACTATGTGCATACTGATGTATGTTTGTTTTTTTTGCAGGGCCATATACAAGATTGCCATTGCGGGTGGGGGTGGCAACAAACTGGGGTCATGGGAAGAGCCAATTGGATTACAGCTTTGATCGTTCAATACTACGAAAACCTAATTCCCAAATACTGGCCTAGCAATGGATTAAAATTGAAAAATTCATGATCACTTTTAATTTTGACTGCAGAAAATAAAGTTTATATTCCTCAGAACATACATGAAATGAGGACAGTACTCCGCTTGCAGCCGCTAGGCCTATATTATCTAGACACGGCCCTGCATTTGTGCAGAAAATACTACTCATTTTAACGGGTATTGTGAAGAGAATTTTGTATATTTTATACAATGGGAAATACATTTATAAATTGTACTATCGGCAAGTACACTTTCCTCCTCTAATTAAAATTTTCTAAGAATTAAATTGTTATTGCTTTTATCAGCAGACAGTTAATTATTGATGTTAAGAGTTCACTGGAAAGCAATTACATCATCCATCATATCCAAAATTATTTTAGCTGTAGAGATGCATTTAATGGCACCATTTCTGTCAAAAAGTTCATGTGGTATTTCATCATCAAAGCGACCTGGATACTGTGCTCTGTTTTGGTCCTTGCCATTGGCACAAAGCTCATCCACATGCTTACGAATGTCATCGGGACATCCTGGTAGATCAGATACAGTCATTGACAACAATCTAATGTTATCGTCTTTGTCATAAACACCTTTACTTGACAGTATAGCAGCTTTTAATGATTTCTCCACTGCTCGTAGACACTTATAGGCCACCCATTCGTAGCTAGGATACCCATCAATATCGTTATCTGCTGCACGAAGGTCCTCCCGGGCTTGTTTTTGCCATAGTTTTGCTTGGACCGGCATAGATCTTGGTGGTGGCGGGTTTGTAAATGAGAAATCAGTATCAGTCCAACTGAAACTAGCCCCAGAACGAAAATTTTCTCTCCATGTATAGTCATATCTATGCTCTCGTCTCCTTTTATCCCTACGAGCTCTTCGGTTCCATTCTTTGTAGTATCCTTCCCAGCTATCGGCATCCTCTGAATTGTAATATTTTCCTGTTGGCTCTTCACCTGTCCGCTGCCTGGGAAGTCCTTTTTCTAGACGATCTATTTCATTTTTCAGATGCTTGAAAACTTCACTACAAAACTCTTCTCGACCAGGATTTTTATCTGGATGCCATTTTAAGTACAATCGCTTGACTGCTTTTTTTCTTTCCTCAGTGTCTAATTTCCAAATCTCTTCTAGATTGTCTGACACTTTGTCCTTGGTTTCTTCAAGATTCTCACTGACTGGTGGTGTAGATGCTCTCTTAGGATGCGTTTTAGATGATTGTTCACTGTTAGAATTAGCTGATACATCCACCATTGCCTGCAAAGCCATTTCTTCATCATGGTTTCTATCTGTATTAGATTTAGAGGGCACCCACTTATAAAGATCAAATGCACTGACTACTTTGTTGTTATCTCTTCCAAAATTTATTTCATACTTATCGTTGATTCGTCGTAAAATCATTGCATATACGTATACTTCATTGCCTGCTTCACAGAGTTCATACACTACATATTCTCCAGGAGTGAATTCATTAAATGGATCATTATCGAGAGATCCAACTATATAATCTGGTAATTGAGATCCTAAGTCTGGTAAAGACATACTTTCTGACGTACATGCATCTAACTCCCGAATATTATGCTTACTTAATTTTGTTTGAATTTGCTTTAAGTTACAGAAAATCATCATCTGTATAGTCATAACATCGTTTATAATCTCTCCAGTAAGTTTAGAAATTATATTTGCTAACATTAACTTTAGAAAGCCATAATCTCCTGAACTCTGATGTCTGATATAAATTGTCTTTTCTGCATCTACAAGTAAACAATCTTCTTCCATTTTACTGTCTTTAATTATTATATCTGCTTCAACCAGGTGTGTCTCTAGTCGTTTAAGACACTGGATTGACAGATGATCTCTTGTTAATTCTGGAACACTAGGAAGAACAGTTTCAGGAAGTTCCACACCGTTCTGATATGCTTCATGTTTCATAAGGCGATAAATACCATTACGAAACTCAGCAGAATGAATTTGACGTCGAATGATGTTTAACTGTTTACATGCACCTTCCTTAGCAAAACAACATTTATTTTCATCTGGAATTAAACTCATAGCCTCTTGAATTGATTTACTGAATTTACATGGTTGAAGTTCTCTTGGCATCTTCTGAATATAGACTGTAGCATCATTTTTCAATTCTATCTCTTTAAAATTTATCAGAATGTTTGTATTTTCTTCCTTCAGTCTAACCTCAAACATTGGCTTATCGTAGTACTTTAAACTATTCGACTTGACAAGCTGGCAACTTCGATTTGGCAAGTACAAGGTAGTTCTACCACTTAACCAATCTTTTTCAAGGTAGGATTTGAAGATCTTACGAACAGAAAATTTTACCATACGCTTCAAATTTGGATTATCACGAAAAGAATCATCCTTAATATCTGCGTGAATCATCGTCAGAAGTTCACAGCACTGCCAGATGGAAGGTTTTTCCTGAGCACCAAGGCGACTGAAGAGCACCATGTATTGGACAAAGCATTCTGGTATCTGGTAGATATACGGTTTCAGAACAAGTCCTGCTTTTATTGTTTTCACTGTGAATTCAGCTTTACTCAGACGTTGGTCCTCATCAACTAGCATAATAGGCTCGTTCTTTAATTCTTTCTGAATCTTGTCACTTTCTTCTCTTTTTTCACACAAAAACCTATAAATATTATCTAGAACGCGATTTAACAGTTTCCGGCATTCAACAGACTTCACTCCACCTGATGATCTTTTTGACTGTCCATATTCATCTTTCAGATTAGTGCATATATTTTTTATGTGCACTAGAACATTATCAACAGATGGTGTTACGTTTGCATTTAAATTCGGCAATAAGTCATTAAATTGCAATCGTTTTCCATATATATGAGGAACGGCATATTCTGGTAACAAATTTGCGCTTGTCCAAACTAGGTGTTCATTTGAGGAAGTTAAAGCACCCTTGTATGGTATTCCAAGTCTACCATCTGAATATAACTTATAAGGTTCATGCAGTGCCACCAGGTCATGATGCAATGGGTGTGGGGCCAAAAATGATATATCACTGAGATCTCTTATTAAGTTGGTATTTTTCATCAATTCATCGCTGTTTGAAATATGTCTGATAAGCATTTTAGATTTTTCTGTCTGTGGATCAAGTTCATTCAAGACCATACCTTGTTCAATTGCCCGTGCGAATTCAAGTATCTTCATTGGTGTAGGTTTTGTTATCAAACCAAGTTCTTTCATGAAATCTTTCCAGTGATATTCACATAAAGGCTTAGGTAGAAACATTTCCGGTTTTAGCATGCATCTAAATAATGGAATAGAACTGTCATAAAATTCACCAATGCGTTTGATAGGCCCGTCTTTATGGGATATGAGAGGTGTGGTCTTCAGGCCCATGTTAGAAATCAAATTGTCCCTCTTTTGTTTGACACACAGTAATGACAGAAGAGTTTGAATTCGCTGCAAGTGCTCTACCCTGGCTTCATGAGTGAATTTACAAAAGGAAGGTAGTATAAATTCTCTGTAGACATCCAGTTCCGTCGATTTGGTCAAACCCAAAAGTGCGTGCAGTTTATTCAAAGATGAATCGTCGCTAATGAACTCAGCTTTAGAATCAGCTACCCACTTTTCTCTTTCGACTTTTGGAATATAAGCATGAAGAACGAAATATTGCTTTTTATTACTTAAAGTAATGTATGTCTTATGAATCGAAAGGTAGCAAGGCAGTTTTCTTAAATCATCGCTATGTTGTTCGTTCAATGATGATCCAATAAAGCGAACAAAGAATAACAGGATGTTTTTCTTGTTTTCGCTATCCAATACCTCAAAAGCTTGATCGTTTTCATCTAATAAAGAAACCAGACTTGTCAGTAATCTTGCAGGTGTGCTAGCAGTGGCAATAAACTGTTTAATAAAATCAATGATACTATTTTGTGAAGCAGACCCCATGTACGAAAACCGTTCCTTTCCAAATATCGTCTCATCTACAACTGGTAGTTCCATCTTAGCTAATGCCTCCTTAATGTAGCTATCTGCTATATTACTATGTATCACTAATTCAGCAGAAGAAAATGGTATCAGATAGTGACACTCTTTGTGTGGACCTGATTTAACTTTTACCGGGAACACAGTCCAATTACCCATTAGTGATTTGATGTGAGCATGTCCGTTGTCATACTGATGCTTATTAAGTGAACGTTTATCAAATTCTTCTTTAAGGAAATCCCAAAGTTTCTGAAGCCATGCTTTATTTGGTATTGAGTCACTGTTTGGATTCCAGGTAACCTTATAGTTTATGTTGTATTGTGAGCCTATATTCATGTTCAGCCTTTCTACAAGATGGTTAATCCCTAAACACTTAATCTGCATTGACGTCTCAGAAAAATGAGACTGTGCACTTTGATGCACAAACTCATGCCAACATTTTGGCAATAATGCATACTTGCGTGAACAAAAGTATGTGTCTGTTGAATTAAATTTCCGTAGCCATGAGTCTTGTGTAAGCAGTAGTGGCAAACCATCTAATGGAATTTTTCCATCTTTTAACAGTTTGTCTTTGTCAACATATTCAAGTAGCGCAAAGTAATTTGATTCACTTTTAAGGCGTGACATGGAGACGCTACACGGTAATGTCCCTGGGTTAAAGCCAGTTTTCAGAAAATATACAACAGTATTAGGTGTAACCAACTCGATCTCATATAGTTGACATTTAACAGCCTCACTTGGTTGTAACTCATTTTCAATAGATGTTGAAAGCATTTTTCCTGCGGTTGTTAAATCTTCATAGATGTGTTTAGGTGCACTAGTAATTGTGAAACCTATATGTTGAAGAATAGCTTTCAAATGTATCTTTTTCTTTTCTTTATCACTAAGCTGTCTTTGAAATGTTGATGTTCTTGTTTCTGTATCGAAGTACACCTTTTTTCCTGCAGCTCCAGCAGCGGGAAGCCATTCTAACCTGTATTCATTATCAGTACAGTCGTCCAAATCATAGGCAATTACGTCATCGGTGCGTCGAACTACTGGAAACAATGGTATCTGATTACGAATAACATTCAAGAACACATGCTCGGCTAAATGCTTCCATTCAGTATGTACATCGCTTAAATTTGGAAAGTAATTCCAATACAATTCCATCATGTCATGCAGACAAGAGGATTTGCATGTAATTAGAGATTCACATCCGGATAGAGGTCCAAATTTTCTGTCTCTCAAATGCCTAAGTAGTTGTGAGTACGAACAAGAAATTACTTCGCTCATTATGTACAAATTCCAGTCCGAATTTTGAGAGGTGTTGGAAAGGTTTCGCCTAGTCGAATCGAGACTGAAATGTCCGTTCACACTTACGGGTAGTTTTGGAAAAATTGGGAGAGGCAGAAAACAATAGGCACAGCACATTTTCTGTGAGCCCAATAGACGTGCTGCTACGCCTCCACGCGGTAGAAGGTTGAGATATCCTTCATTGTAGGCCGATGAGAGTTTTAATGGAATATTTTCACTTGATCCTATGCGTTGGTTCACCAACCACACTTCAGTTTTTCCTCTGCTATCAGAAATCTTCATTTCATACGTAACCTCCTTTATCTTAATGTCTTCTAATTTCGATTTATTTGCACATTCTTTAACATATTTGTAAAATTTGCGTCTCTTTTCTTCATCTTCCTCCGATAGTTCTGCTTCTACTACATATTCAGTTTCCATACAGTGACTGATCTCATCAATATGTGAAATGGTAATCTTTTTCAGATTATTAAGATACAAGAGCATATCAAATGCATTATTTTTAAAAGTGTCAAGTAAATATGGCAGTTTCTTCCCATCATATAACTCTCGACTCATGACCGAATCTTGATCCTTAGCATGATAGCTCATTTTAGTAGTACGCAAAGGAAATCTAAACATTGTGCATCCTCTGTTTGGAAGAGAGTCGAGACGGAAGCAAGAAAGAGCATCACTAAACAATTTGTTAAGCTCTTGACTAATATCATATCGAGAACCTGGCGCGTCTGCAGTTGCATCGTCAATATATGCACAGCGGGGGTCGAAAACACACAGCGTGTCATCATTGGACAAGAATGTTGGACAGTCAGTAAGATGATAAACAGAATTAAACCCAATGCCATACTGGCCTGTCTTATCTGGATGTGCTGATTTACTGCCAATTCCAAGATCTTGGATTCCCTTCAGATCACTTTCAGTAAATGGTTTGTTGTTGAAAACACATAATGCTGGTCCAAGTGTTTGTTTCCATGATTCACAAAATACTTTTTCATCAGGGTGTTGACGCGGGTCGTATATGAAATTGATTTCATCTGCACCGGCATCGTCGGCATTTTGTAACAGTTCTTTGAATATTGAATCATCACATGGATATCCTTCTAAGATTTCGCTGATTCGACTAGTAAGTTTTTGTACTTGGCCGAATTTTGTGCCATACTTAAGTTTATGTCTATTCTTTGATAAAATGTTTAACCGGATATCTTTTACACCTAGCTTATCTGCCAATTCATGGGGAATGAGATTATGGCACAATGTCTCACCTTTTATGTCATCATCTGAACTGTCATGAAGACAAAAACTTAGTTCACTAACAGGCCTAAGACGCATCTGACTATCAGGAATCAAAATTTGTCGTTCATCATCAAAGTCTTTGCATGCAGCCAGAGTGAGAACCAAGTCAATTGCTACTTGCATATCTTTGTCACTGAGAGCCTTTTCCTCATATTTACTTTGAAGAAGATAACTGACATTCAACAAGGTAGAAGGGTGAAAGTTTTCTTCCAGGCCAAGAATTTTGAAAAAATCAACACAGGTTTTCAATTCAGGGGGGAGTTTGTAGAGGTACGGTTGAAATTCCCGATTGCAGGTTAGAGACACTTGGTCAATTTTAACAAACTTTCCAGAACACAAGACAACTGGTAAATTCTGCAGCGATTCTTTGATTATAGCTACTTTCTTGGTTTTTATGTGTTTTTGTATTTCTGTTATAAGAAGCATATACATATGATGAATCCTAGTGATGTCGATACAATCAATAGAAATGAGTTGTTTCAGTTGTTTAATGACATCCGTCAGATCTGGAGTGATTTTTATTTTTATTAGCCTTTTTGTAGACAAAGTACATTTCAGATCTCTGGCTAGTGGAGCAACTGCTCCAACATATTCTTTTAACTCAGAGCTGTAAACACACTTTGGTGACAAGAATACATCCTTTGTATTTGCCCACAACACAGGGTAATGTAAAGGAGATTCAGTTTCTGTCGGTATGAATTTGATGTTGTGTAGTTCTAGTAGCCCTTTTTTGACACCTTTATCATCTGTTTTAATCGAGTCAATGTACTTTAGAATAGCATTAGCCCTTTCTCTACAAATTTTCGTCGACTTGTGTGAGTCAGATATTTGATGAAGAAGCTCAACAGATTGGCACCTTTCGACAACATGGTCCAATGGAATACTTAAGTGTGCCATTCCTAATGACCTTAACTTCACAAGGATTTCGGGAGTTCTGAATTCGTTGCCAAGTGCAAATTTACCATCATTTGGAAGATACATCGATGCTATTAGGTGGCAAGTGTGATCGATTAATTCCGATGGAATTTTCCGAGCACCATCAGGTGTTGAGGGTATGCATGGAGTGGATTTCAACATGTCATCTATCCAATCAAAATCATTATGTTGCAGTAAATACAAAAGTGTAACATTGACAACATCATCTGGAAACTCTGATATTTTTGGAAAGAAGTATACTTCAAAGAACTGTTGAAACGAAACCGTTCTTGTCATGATTTCATCAAAGCAATGAGAGTCAATGAAACTTTTCAGGATGTAGTCAGGTAAATCAACAATAACAAGCCCCTGTCTTACCATTATATCTGTAACAACGGTTACAATTTGGCAATCTGTCAAATCTGCATCAAAGAAATGAATCTCATCAAATGTAAGCCAATTTTGGTCAACGTTAAATATCTGTGGAAGATTAGATTTAGCTTCATGGTTAATTCCGTGAACAACAGCTTTGTAGAAACTATGCACAACATGGAGAATATCTGTGTGTACACGATCAGTTCTTGGCCACAGTGAAAATAAACCATCTTTTTTGCGAATAGTTGAGACATCAGTAAATACCATTGTTCTTGGTGTAGGCTCAGAGAGCAACGTAATGTAAGCTCTTGCAATCACATCCTTCATAAGAGCATTATTCCATTCCGAATGTATTGTTGTATCATCTCCAGATCCTTTTTTACGAAGACTTCTTCTATCTGATGTTACAGAAAATTTGGCATTTATGTGTATCGGGAGACCACTTGGTGGAATAGACAAAGGCAGAAAACAAAACACTAAACCGGAAACCATCTCTGTGCTGTGATATTTGTATGCCAATCCACCACACGTGCTTAGTCCATGCTTTACACCCTCACTGCTTTTTGCTATCTGTGAAGATTCGTTAGTTCCATTAACCGTATGAATAATCCAATCTTCTTGTTTACCTTTTAACTGAAAATACTGGCAACCACCATTTGGATATTGTACATTTATTCTGATTTTGCTGGTATTACCATTTCTGCTTTCTGTAATTGGTTCTTTCATAACGCTACAGATGCATATTGGTTGTTCATCATAATTACTCCGACGGTAAATGCTCATTTTTTGTACATGCTTAGTAAATATCAGCATCTCCCCAGCCTGCTTAAGAAATCTTTTGATAAGATCTCTAATCTTTGTTTTACTGAATGTATTTTTGCTTATCTTTCCGCCTTTCCGAACTTGCTCGTCCGTTCGAAGAGGAAGCCGAAAAAGGGTTCCTGTAAAAGAATTCCCCCGAAGATCACATCCAAATATATTTTCATATGGACGGAATTGATTGTGGAACCTATCCAAAATTTTTTTATCATTGTTGAAATTTATCTGAATCCCAGGAGCTCCAAATCTTATTTGATTACCAAGATGGAACCTATGAGGATCAAAAATTGTTAGACGACCATTACTTATAAAACTGGGAACATCTGTCAAGTGGTAAACCGAGTTAAAACCCAGTCCAAAGTTTCCAATTTTCTCTTTTTCTTGGCGTTTAGTTTGTCCACCTAATTTTGTTATGTTTTCAAAATCATCTTCTGTAAACATTGCGTTATTAAACACACAAAGTGCAGGGCCGTGACATAGGCTCATTCCGATATCCAATAGACCATTTGTGCTTGAATTTTTACTGAGATCAATTAGAAACTTCACTTCCGTAGCCATTGCATCGTCTGCATTCTGAATCATTTCTTTTGGAATATCTACATCTTGATAGTCTTCAAGAACATTATGAAGCCTCTGTGTCAGTGCTTCTTCTTGACCAAAGTGTGTTATTCCAATTTCATAACTGTGAGATAATTTTCTACTCAAGGGTGTTACTCCGAAGAATGCTGCAATTGAATTTGTTACGTCTTGATGTACTAGGTTTTCGTCATGTTCAGAAGTTAAGCTACTTTTAAACCAATCATCACAAAAGCAACACTCCTCAGGCCTCACCAGGCGGAGTTCTTCTTTACATTCAATAGGAATAAGAATGTCTTGACCACGTTCTTTCATAATGTCTTCATTACAATGACCTTTGATAAAGGTCAGAATTTCTATTACAAGATTACGGTCGCGTTCAATGTCTGTAGCAAGAGGTGAGATATCTCCGTCATGTTTATTTTTAATCTTATAAAGAATACCTATAAGATCGCTTAATCTTTCACTTTGTTCCTGCGGTACATTGCAATGTATGAATAGTTGTTTGTAACAACGTAAGCTTTGGTGAACTGAGTAAAAATACGGTTTAAGATTGACAGTTCCTTTATTGATACAAACAGAACTCTTGCAGGTGAATCCTTCACCGTGCCACACCCATGCCCAATCATCTGTCTGCAATTTGTCACTAAGTTCTTTGTTACAATCAACTTCTCGTTCAAGCACAGCATAAATAATATTACACATCTTTAAAACCATCGCTTCATTAGCCAATAAATAATCGTTAGAGATGTCGGAAAGTTTTCTAAGTTGTTGTGTGACCTCTAAACACGATGGTGAACGCATTTGTTTAGATAGGTTAAAAATCCGACTAACATTTTCTGCATCTCTGCACCACCGAAAAACTTGTTCATTAACGACGGGTTTCACAAAGCATACTAAATTAGAATATGCAAAAGGATGAAGTTCTGCAGCGCATAAGAAATCATCACATTCATCTCCGTACCATGGAAAATCTGCAGGAAAATTAACAGGTTTCTTTGAAACTGGTAATATTTTAACGCATCGAATATCATTCATAAACTTCTGATTGATCAATCCGGATTTTGTTTCAAGAAATTTCATGAAGCACTGTATCTTATTCATTTTACGTTTTCTTTTACACTTAAATCCTTCGAGAACTCTGGCTCTTTCTAAAAGTTCTGACAAACTTAGATCATCCTTTACCATTCCCAACTTAACCAGCACTTCCAACCTTGTCTCATCACATCGGTAATTTTTATTTGGAAAGCGAAGTTCTTCGGGTTCAAATAAGTCCGAAACTTTGCCATATGGGTGCACAAGATCGGAAACTCGTTTCAGAGGTTCAGATGCACTGCCAGTTGGAATACATGCAGTGTTTTCAAGAAGATTTTTGTATGATGGTCGCTTGTAATTATCAATTACGTGCATTGTGAGTTTATCACGCGTTTCGCTTTCCATGTAGTTGATGTTGGGAAAGAAAACTTCTTCAAAAAAACGCTCTTCCGTGTACATCCGTTTGTGTATCGCATCACCACAACCAGCTCGTTCGAATCCCTTTATAACTTTATCAGGAATATCTACCACATACTTCCCAGGTGAAATGAATCTCTGTAAAACAGCTTTTACATCGTCAGCAACAGCTTGAGTATATGGTTTGTAGATGAAAATTGCATCAATGTTTAGCCATTTATCGTGCTTCTGAAAAATACATGGCTTATCTCCCGAATCATCAATTCCATATACAATTGCTCTGTAGAATGCTTTTAATAAAGGCAAATATTCACTTTTCACTGGAATCTGCGATTCATTAGGCCAAAGGTCATATGTAGAGAATGCTGTTAGACAACATTGAGCTTGTTTGTGTGATAAGAGACTCACATAGCTTCTATTGATTATGTCTACAAAAATAGCATCATTCCAATCTGATTTTAAGTCTCTGACACCTGTTATGGTTCCCCTTCTCCAAAGATTCCTTCGGTCATTAGATACTTCAAAATTACCATTAATATGACATGGTATGCCGGAGGTTGGAATTGATAATGGCAGAAAAGAAAAAACTTCTCCTTGTATTGGTTGTGATAAAAGTGGTAGTGCTATTCCACCACAAGGAATCTTAAACCTTGATGTATCAGATTTGTATAATTCCAAAGAGTTTGATTGGCCCATACAAGAGAAGACTAACCATTGTGTTGAAGTACATTTTGCAAAATCAGTGCGATAATAAAGAGCTCCCTCCTTTGTCAGACAATGTTCAACACTTAATCTTGTTAATGATGATGGGAAATGACTAGTATTTTTGAGCTCCAAACCACTTGATAGAAACTTTGACGATTCAAGCAAAATACAGTTCTGCATTTTAAACTTGTCCATGTCGCCTAAATACTTTATTGAATTATTGATCTCTTTTATGTATTCTTTTGGAGTTTTCGTCGCAGAGAACAGTTGTACAGCATGTTGCGGCTCGCTGTGTTTTCCAAGATAATACACTGATACCTTTGTCACATGTTGTGTAAAAAGCAGTAGTTTTTCAGCATTTTTATTAACGTTTTCCATTAAATGCAGAACATCATCTTCTTCAAAATGCTTATCACTTATCTGACTTTTGATGGCCATAGTTCGCAGTGGCAAACGAAATAATGTTCCATCAAACTGAACTTTTTTAGTATCGAATAGGTTACACCCAAAAATTCCGTGAAATGGTTGGAATTGATTACAGAATCTTTTTAGAGTTGTTTTACTTTGATTCAAATCGATTCTGATACCTGGATTCCTTTTATCTCGTAGTTGACTATCGAGAAAATTAGTGTGTGGGTCGAGAAAGCCAACCAGCCCACGGGACAAGAAGCTGGGAACATCTGTTATGTGATAGACTGAATTAAATCCTAAACCAAATTTTCCAATCAGCTCTGGATTACTTCCTTTCGTTCTTCCACCAATCTTAGTGATGTTCTCAAAGTCTTCATCGCTAAACGTTGAATCATTATACACCCACAGTGCAGGACCCTGCCACGATTTCATTCCTTTATCTAGTAGCCTTGTTTTTAATGAGTTATTTTTGCGCATGTCAATCATAAATCTGACCTCAGAGGCACCAGCATCATCAGCATTTTGAATCATTTCATTAGCAATAGAATCCTCAGTATAGCCACTATCAAGGATATTTCTCAATTTCAGAGTAAGATCCTCTTTTTGGCCAGCTTGTTGAAATCCAAGTAAAGACATCGCCCCGCTGATCTTTTGACCAAGAGGCATCACATCTAGGCAAAGGTAAATTTTACGAGAAACTTTCTCGTGCACGAGCTTAATGTCTTCAAACTCATCAAACTCGAGCCATTCCTCATTGGGATAACACACATCATTACATGAGGCAAACTGAAGGCAGTCACTGTTTTGCAGAGGAAGGAAAATTCGATCTCTTATTTCATCAGTCACCTTTCCTTTGTTAATGTCTATAATGCCTTCGATGACATATATCGCAAGATCTCTATCATGTTCAATGCGTTCAGATGTGACATCTGTATTTCCAGGTGTTTCGTGAAATTGCTTTATTTCCTCTAGTAGTTCCAGCATTGGATCCATCTTCTCATCAACTTTCTCTATAGCTCCAAAAGCTCTAAACAAATGTTTGTACTTACTGAAACGTGGTTGAAGTACAAAAGAGTATGGTTCAAAGCTGTGTCTTGTTTTCTTAAGGGAAATCTGTGATGGCGCCACAAAGCACATTCCGGTCCATACCCATTTATCATCACGTTCTTTGAATTGTGCAAAATCCTCCATGTTATTTTGCATGAATTTGTACACACTATGAAGTGTTTTCTCAAGACTAGGTATATCTAATTTATTATCAATGTTTTTCTGGCAAGAAGATACAAAGTCTACTATATTCTGTAGGTGGTTGTATATCTTATCTGATTGAGGGTGTGCCTCCCAGTTGAATCTATTAGATAATTTTGGGTATTTATTTGAAACAAGAGGCATAGTTGAGCCTACTAAGGGTGCAAGGGAGACAGACGTCGCCTCATTCGGTTTCAATAGACTCTCACATCCGTAGAATCGAGGCAATTCAGATGGATATATTTGCTGGTCAATTTCATCCTCAACAGGAACCCATCGGTTGTTTAGAAGGTAATCAAGAAGCGTGGAGTAAGTAAGGAAATTTAAATTTTCATTCAACAGTTTCAATAAAGCTTTGCCTTTTTTAACATTTGAATTTGAGGTGACATCTTCTGCACATCGTTGTACGTCATGTTTCGTCAATTTAGAACGTGTTTTCAATCCTAGTTGAAGTAGGATACTTCGATATTTAATACCAAATGGTGAGGTAGGAAAGACATCCAAGCATTCGCTAAATAACTGTGCCAGAAGTTCATCTGACGGATCAAAACATTCTGATGGTCTTCTATGGCTCCCGTCAGGTAAAGGAACAAATGGTTCTTTTTTAATTGTATCTATGATAATTTTCCTCCTCGATGGCTTAAATTCATCCCACCTATCCATTATCCAGATAATTAGTGAAGTTACATTGCCATCTTCATTTGACAAACATCGAACCATTTGGCACAGAACCTCCTCTCGCGGGCATGTTTGAAGGCCCAATTTAGAAGCTAAATTATTGGAATCTGTATCCAATATGTCAAGAAATATCTCTTCTGTTGGAAAATCTGGAAGTTCTTCTTTATTCACTATTCTTAGCTCTTTATCGTTGACAACCGCAGACTGAAAGATGCTGTAGTTATAATCAAGGACATGAGTTGCTTCTTCGAAAACAGGAATTCTAAGTAACACATTTCGTTGTCTATCATCTTTCAGGCTTTGAATATTTCCCAAGAATCTTCGAAATAGTTGTACATCTTCTGGAGGAAGGCTCTTTACATCATTCTGAAGACTTTCGTCAGTACCAGCTTCGGCAAAAATCCGCAAGATATCATTAGGTTCTAAACTGTGTAAGTAGGTCTTCCAAATGTCTTGTCGAAAAAATTTTACAAATTCTGCATTTTCAAGATTCACTGTAATCAAATGCAGTGAAGGCAGTATGGCCTCAACCAGTCTAGTCTCAACATCTTGATGGCCATCGATAACTACAATATTAGACTTACGGACAAGTTGAATTAATTTGACCTCAGTTTGGTCTTCACTAAATCTTGTCGGGATCAGGGTAATCCCCTCATATTTACTAATATCATTTTTGGAAACTTCTTGTAAGAAGCTCCAGAATTTCTTGAGCCAGCATCGTGGAGGGTGATCAGGATGGCCTGGATACCACATAACCTCGGCTGATTTCGACCAATCAGATGGTAATGCATCTCTGATTAAAGTTGCAATCATGTTTGGTTTCAACTGTTGAACTTGATTAATTCCTGTTAAGATGAAATCATCATATCATTATCATATCAATACAAAACAATGTATTAGGTTTATAAAAATATGTTTACATCGAACTGCAATGTAAGAAAAATATGGAATGTGTGTATGTACCTATTAGGTCTATAATAATGCAAGTTCAAAGGGCACAGGCCAATTGAGCCATTATTTCAAGATGTAAACATGTTCTTTTGAGCATTTGGCATACAAGCCGCTAACAAAAGACGTGTTCGATTGCAGATAAGAAAACTTATAATATTGTATTAATGGCTATATTTGGTTGAATATATATATATTTGGTTAAACAATGATTGCTAATATATAATGAGGTTTTGCCTGGTAAAAACTGTATGTTCACACAAATGTCATCACTATTTTTTTCTACAGTTTTTTTTCTTCAAGAGGCATGATTAATTATGTAAGATTGAGGAATATGTAGGAATAAACTAAATTGTAAAAATCACCTGTCATTTGGCTTCCACGAATAATCTTATCCTTTAGTGATTTCTCAATATTTTCATCAAGGAATCTGCTGCGAAGGCCTGGTAATAAGTCCATTGAGCACTCATGTAATACAGAGAAATAAACCACTTCGTCGTCTGTGAGAGTTTTAGATGCAAATCTACAAAACGAACTATCTGCAAGTGGAAGCAGTTCAAAACCATGAAGGTCATCAAAGTCATTGTCAGCTAGTAAATATGTCAGTAAACAGATCTTCTCTCTGCGTGCTAGGCTGCATAATGAAACATTCCGTAGGGTATCCCGAACGCGACTAGGTGTGACACTGTTCATTTCGTGCTCAGTACAGTGCCACAAAACAGCATTCATCACGTGTGGATAGTCTCTTGTGGAGACAATCGGTACATTGTTTTCTAGAAGAAGTCTCACAATAAGCTGTTGAGTTCCCTTTGGAATGTCCTCAAAATGGTCAAATATTGCCTCATCTATATTTATCCACTTACCGCCTCCAATTTCACTAAAGAACACATCTTTTTCAAGTAGTATATTGAAAAAATTAGGACACATTAACTCCTTCCAGGGGAATTCCACTTTGTTCACATCAGGCCATGTCTTGTAGATGCAATCGACAGAAACCTCTCCTGTACTGTACTGCTCTATTGCATGAAGTATAAGTTGAGTGTACGCTTTTGGAAAAAGTTGCTGAAGGAGCAAAGTGTTCCATTTTGACATTTTGTCATTACGATCTTTAACTGGCCACTTGATTGTGCGTCGATCATCACTAATACCAAAATCGGCATTTACATGTACAGGTAACCCGCTATAATTTTCAGACGGTGGAAGCGGGAGAAAGCAACAAGTTCTACCTTCAAGCGGTGATGATGCCTCAATGCAATTTTTTGCACTAAACGCCTGCATAGCAACACCTACCAATGGCAATCGATCAAGTTTTTTTGCCAGTGTAAGTAATTTGGATGGATTGTCTGATCCCTCCAAATAAATGCTAATTAGCCACTTGTGTTCCTCTGGTTTTAAATGATTTTCAACAATTTCAATATGCATTGGAAATATTGTCGAAAATGATGCGTAATCATTACTGTGCAGCGGTTTACTACTCTTAATTGCTGTTATTATGTCTTTTCTTGATTTCTGGACTATGTCTTTAGTTCTGCAAGAAATGTTAGCAGAAAATAAAGGCACTTCTGTTTCAGTAAGCTTTTCTCCTACCGTTATACTGTTTATAGTTTTTAAGAACAATAGGAGTATTTTCGCATCATCAACAAATAATTTGAAGAGCCTTTTCACGTCATCTCCATTTACCATATTATCTGACACAAGTGATGGTTTTCTTCGGAGTGGGAACCGAAACATCGCTCCCATAAAAGAATGCCCTTCAATCAGGCCCGGTTGATTGCTAAATAAGTTCTTGTATGGTTGAAATTGGTCAGTGAATTTAGGATCCTTAAAAATACTTGCCCTTTTGTGTATGTCTAGTTGGCGCCCTCGACGGGCTTTCCCCTTGTAAGTAAACAATGTCTCGGTAGGATCCATTAATGCAAGGTAATTTCCGCTCAAAATGCTAGGCACATCTAAAATGAATATAAAAAAACAACCGTGATAATATATTTTTTAAACGTATTGCCTAATTCCTGAGGGAAATTCTTAAGACGTTGTTACAATCAGTCTAGTTGCTATAATGCGCAATTCTAAAACTGGGTTGCATTTTTTATTATTACATGAAGTAAAATTACCCAACTATTCATTTATGCAGCCTCACCCTTTCTCAGAGAGAAAAATGTTAATCCATCCACCATGCCGTATGTATTTAGCAATATTGTGTAAGTTGTTGACTGTTACCTAGTCCAATAGGTTATATATTCTGATTTTATTGCTGTTTCCGAAGTGTACAATTTTGCTGCAGAAGAATGTTCCTATTTTTATCGGCTGTTTTAATATATGCGCAAGTTTTTTATTCTGATTCTGCTGTTTTTGAAAATTGTAATTTTTTTTTATATTCTTTTTTCTATTTCAAAATTTGTATATAATATTTACCTCCCTCTTTTTTTCTCTATTTTATCTGTTTATATTTTTTTATTAATCTGTTAATTTGTCCTTTTATATGATTGTCTTTTTTGTAATTATCCTTTAAAAATCCCAAGCAATTCTGTTTTTACTGTGATTTGTGGGTGTTTTTGAAATAAGTAAATAAATAAATAAATTTGTTTGTCTAAGCAAGATTGAGCAAAAACAATCAAGAAACTCAAGAGGTCAAAGGACAAAGTAATTTATTATATTGTGGGGTAAAAAAGTCAAGGTCACTGAGGCTTACCTGTCACGTGATAAACGGACACAAATCCCATCCCAAAGCGACCCACTTTTGTTGGATCGTCCTTCTTCTCAGATCTTGATAAATTCTGAATGCTTGTCCAATCCTTATCCATAAAGGTTGCATCATTGAATGAACACAAAGCTGGTCCTTGGTATGGTGACAAATCACCAATCCCTTTTCCACAATATAGGTTCTCTGTACCGTGCTGTCGGCCGTCGTACAAAAACCTTACAGTGGTGGCGCCAGCATCATCTGCATTCTGTGTCAACTCCTGTTAGAAATTACATATTACTATTTATTGTTATGTCAGACACTCAATGCAGCCAATGGTCGTTTGCTGCTGCAATACTATGTAAATCACAATGCCACAGGGCGCATGGGAAGTATTCGCATTGTCAAATACTCACATGGAGTGGAGTTGGATACATCGGCTGGCAGTCTGATGTGGAGAATACTCATTAAGAATAAAATTTATTATATAAGCCTAAATAGTCAAAACGTAGGCTCCTACTCCTAGCAGGAATGTGTAGGCCTATATACTACTTGACAGCATACTTTCTGTAACTGAACAAGTAACCTTGTTGACTTTTTGGTTATTTTTCTAGGACAGGTCTTACCTATAGCATGGCATGACATTTCGTAATCTATACTTTTCATTTTTATCTTTAGTTTTAAATGCATCCTATCATTCCGCCACCGGATTTGCTTTTAAAATGTCGATTGCCAGACAATACAGTGTCTATTCGCCCTTCTACTTATCCCCGAAGTGACAGTGGACACAAAAAAGAGCACATTTTTTATTTTAAGAAGTAGTGATGTATAAACCATGAAAAATAAAACACATAAAATAGGATTTAAAGTTAGTAGGTTTTACTGCTCTCTGGTTTGATAATGATGGTAGATGATAATTATAATAATGTATGATGATGATGATGATGAGCCATAATTGTAGAAATTAGATTTTTTATGGCTATGTAAGCACAGTAAGTTACCTTTAGTAATTGACCCTCCGTGTAATTTCGAAGAATTTGTTTCACATATTCTACCAAAGGCGGCTCCCTTTGTCCGAAACAGTAATCAGCTGATAAAGTAAATAATAATTTATTATGGAATCAATAAAATAGTGAATAAATTGATTATATATATTAAGCTGTATAATCTAGACAGAGATTTACATTTGTTTTAATGAGGCTACTAGTCATTGGTTGATTTCCCGTCGATTTTCAATCAGGCGGTACTGGGGTGGGACTTGATTTCCTGCTCCACAACAACACATCTATTCGTAGAATCCTTTTAGAAGAAAGCCTACCTAAAATGGCCTATAATTGCATGAGACCAGCTAAATCTAGCTTTGAATATAGGAAGATTGAAACATAATAATATATAATATACCGCAGTGTTCCTTTGAGAAAAAAAATTATATTAATAAATGTAATATTAATAATTTAGGTTATATTATCTGTTAAAAATTTAATCAAAATCTCCTCCATAAGTTAAACTGTATACAAATTTATTTAATTAACTTTGATGTCTTTCATTGGAATTGCTGTATATGTTTTTGTAAATTTTAGAAATAACTTATGATATTTAAATGGCAATATTTTTATTTATTATTATTATTATTATTATTATTATTATTATTATAATATTGTAATTGGCCTTTCCTCACTGCTTTTTTATCTTTATTTTATGTCTGTTGATTTTGTGTTAATATATTTTTGTGTGCCTTCCTTTTTTGTATCTAAGGAAAACTAATTTCAATTTTACCTGATTGTTCTATTGACAATAAAATTACTTTGACTTTGACTAATAAGTTTTACATTTTAGTGTAAAAATATATAAAGAAGAAATAGAAAGAAGAAGGAATAGGAATGTAATTAGGAGCAGCTCATATTGGTTCCGAAAATTATATAATTAATAATGATAATTGCCTTTTATTAAATTTTACACGTTTTAGTGAATTTTACTCACTAATTATCAGAGGTCAAGGGTCAAGCCCACCATGTTTCATAAATTTGATTATCGTGTGCATTATTTAACATTTCTAAAGCACTGGAAATTTATCCGGAAGAACATGTTGTAGTTCAGACAACATTGTTATCATGATTATTGTATTCATGATTAATTAGGGCGCACTCCAAACCCAACCTAACTAAACCTAAATAAGGTATGCAAATTAGAGCCGTCTATTTCAAAACACTAAAAAAAAAAAAAGAACATTCCATCCTTACCGTCTTCATCACTTGACATTTTGGCAATTTGCAGGATTCAATCAAACCAAAAATGATCACACAAATTTATTTCAGCATCATCAGAATCGTTGTAAAAATCTATAAAACAGACATATATGGAGAATATATATTAATTGGTAATGATTTCTTTATTTCGTAACATAAAATGTTAATTAAAAAATATAATTTGCTTGTCGCCAAACCTATATTCTCAGAATTCACATCATTCGCACTTTCTTGCCATCACGTGAATCAAACCGATATTTTAAAATAAATGGTTTCTCCTCCATTACTAAAGACATGCACTCAATACGACCAACCATGGGCAGAGATCTTGGGAGACACTCCCCCACATATTTTGAGGGGGTTGGTAAATGACCCGTGTTAACAAAAAAAGCCCTGTACAGCTTTTGTATAGTACTGTACATCTTATAGGCCTACCGGTATCACTAACGTCTGAATTACCTATAATACACAACTCGAATGCGCTTGCTTTTGTTACTACAATTTGAGAAGTATGAGAAAAAGTATACGACTTTGGGCACACAAAGTAATTAAAGAAAAATAAATACATCAAAGACAATTAAGTTTTATTTTCAATGGTACAATACGAATTAGATTTCAATGATAGCCGCAAATCGCTGATAAAAAATCATAGTGATGTTATGATTATGACTTGCTATATAAGAGTGTCATTTCCAGCTAGCTTAAGGTACTATTTCGCAAAATGTTTTTACCCCAGCCTCAACCATGGTGGGGCAGGGGTGGGTTTGGACTCATTGCTTTGAAGTAGGTAAAAGTAAAATAAATACATCAAAGACAGTGTTTTGAAGCTTTATTTTCTATGGTACATCACACATATTAATTAGATCTCTATGGTTGCTGAAAATTGCTGATAAAAGATTATGAGAAATTTGTTGGCACTTCATTTTGACTATAATGGTAATGTGATGATGACAAATTTTACTACATAAAAAGAGTGTCATTATCGGCCATCTATAGGTACATATTCCATAAATGTTCGCACCTCAGCCCCAACCATGGTTGGGCTGAGGTGGGTGTGGGCTCACGGCTTTGAAGTAGGTCAAGTAAACCATTTACATCAAAGACGATGATTTTAAGTTTTATTTTATATGGTACATCACACATTTTAATTAGATCTCTATGGTTACTAAAAATTGCTGAAAAAAGATCATGAGAAATAATGTTGATGTGATGATGGTGAATTTTACTATAAAAGTGTCATTTCCAGCCATCTAAAGGTTCTATTTTCCTCAAATTTCTGAGTGTGCCTGAGGTGGGTGTTGTCTCACGCAATTCCCCCTCCCAACCACTACCATTCAAAACAGATCTGCGTCCGTGCGCCCAAGGGTCCTTGATGTGATTCTATTGTTAAATATCGGTTAGTTGTTGGTGACTTTAATGAGTAGTATGACACAGTTCCTTTTAGTTCACTGCAAACTTTTATTAACACAAACTGTACGTTGGTTACAATCAGCTAAACTCCAGGTTTCAGATGTTAGAGAACCCTTTTAGAATGGAGTCAGCTCAGCTCTGTACTTTTCTTCTGTGTTGAATCTAACTACTGACTACTGACTACTCACTACTGATTACTGACCATTGCTGATTACTGACCATTGCTGATTACTGACCATTGCTGATTACTGGTTACTGGTTACTGACTGATCCCGTGATATGGGGTGTTTGCCTATTATACTTTAGGTAATGGGGGTGTGTCTCAAGTAAGTCACCCCATACTTTTAGAGTTTCTGATTGGATCATAGAGAAATTCTTTCTCTATGATTTAGAAACTTGTTTACCAAAAAACTACTAATTAAGATGTATCACAAACTTCAGAGCTTAGGCTCAAAACTGACAATCATAGATTCATAGTGTGAGAAAGGCCAAGTCCAACTGACTAGGGTAAAGTTATACAAAGTCCAGTTATATTATTAGATTATCTGTATACTCAAGTTGACCATTAAAACTGTCAATCCAATTTAAGGCATTTATCAGGTGAAGGGTATCGATTCCAATGGTTATGCAAGTTAATACCATTGAACCTTAATACTACATTACACTATGGAGAACGCAACGCCATCAGCAGTGGTGACCAACAATTGACAGTCTGTGGCTTTGCGTTGTCAAACGCTACAGTGAGACACCAACTTAATTCAGTGGGCTAATCTGGTGGTAGCCACTGTGTGTGCACGCTGAACCATGTAAATCTCTAGGTCCCAGGTTCAATTCCCATCGCTGCCTCTCCTTGTGTTTCAGCTTGCGGGCTGAAATACAATAGCGCACCGTTTTTCGTATTAGACGTTAGGTCTGCATTTATGGCCCCATGTGCATGTTAAAGAACGCAGGACTTCTCCCGGTATACTGCCCAATCACCACCGGAAGAACCCCAGTGGAAATAAGTCCTCTAGACTTTCGTGGGCTATTCTTGGTGGTTACATCGAATGAATCCGATCTAAATTATATATCTGACCTTATTAGTAGAGAGGTTTTTGCTACACGTTCTTTTAGAACGTGTACGTGTAGATATCTACGCGTACATGTTGTTTTTGCATCCGATCTATTCGCTATCCGTCGCACGCTGGCCTTGCAAACTGCCAAAAAACAAAAAAACTACAGTAGCGCCACCAAGACACAAAAAAATAAAACAAAACAAAAAGTTTAAGGAAGTACACAGTGAGGCAAACACCAATCCTTTATTCAAAACAATCTATACATTTTCGTTAAGTGTTCTTTTTAGATTTAAACATTTTAATAATACCATTGTGCTGAAAAATCCAATACAATGTATTAAGAAAATACAAAACTGAACATTTTCTACGCCTGAGGCCTACATAGCCTAGGCTAGGCCCTGACTTAAACAAGGCAGTAGGCTAGGACAGGTAGCATTAATTTACAAAAAAACAGTAGAATCCTTTTTATTTTTTCTTATCATGTGGAATTGATTTTCTTTTTCCTTCTGGGACCAAAGATGGGGAAAAAACCCCAAAATTTTGAAATCATGAAAAGCACTCTGCAGAGATAAAGATGAAGGAAGAAGAGTTGGAATTTAAAAATAAACAACTAGATCAGAAAAGAGAGTTTGAGAAAATAAAATTTGAACTGGAGACGCAGGAACGACAGGCCAGAATGTTGGTGTCAAAAATTCCACAGTCTACCATAATATAAATCATACTGTACATATATACAGTAGATATAATGTACATATAATTGTAATGTAACTTACCAATTGCACAATAATTTAACCAAAAAGTTCTTTGATGTTGTAAAGTTCTCTGAAAGCATATATTGTAAAATACATGTATTAAACTTATATTTATCAGAAACTCAACATCTGTTAAAATATGACTTCATTCATGTATCATATCATATAAGGCTTGCCATCTCAAAAACAGGTGTACTGTTGCTAAATGTTAAACTGCATACTTAGCATAAGAATGTAGCAGCTGTTGTATATATATACAATACAGAGAAGCTGTAAAACTTGTTAATCATAACTTTGGCATTTACTGTAGTAAGTTGATTACAGTAAATGACTATCATTTTTAATCTTATAATAATGTGGAGTATGTATATTGATATATTAAAAAGTCAATCTTCATGCTTTGTTGTTGGTTTTGGCATGGCAATCCTCATAATCATCAGATACAGTACTAACAACTTTTAGCATAGAAGAGTCAAATTAGAAGGTTGTCGAACGATTCCGCTCTTCTATTTGTAATGTAATTTGATTTGTATAGCACTTTATACCGGAGTACTCTAAGCGTGGACTAGATCATATACCGGTAGTTCTATACTGCACGGCAAACCCCTGGATAATGAGTGGATCATGTTATATACAGTAGGACTCACTTGTTATCTCAATAAAAAAATTTAATAAGTTTAATGTTCAAAAGAACCTATTTTTTGGTTAAAAATATTGATTTCTTGTTTTTTGTGAAAAATTCTAGAAAACACACCGCAAACCTCCAACAACACACCGCAAACCCCACCAAAACCTCTAGATTACGATTTAATTGGGTAAATTATTTTTTGATTTTAATCAAAAATTGACCTTTTTGCCCAAAAATAGGTAAAGAAAATAAAATTATCTATTTTTAAAATTTTTAAATCATAATCAAGAGGTTTTGATGGGGTTTCTGGTGTGATCTTGGAGGTTTGCTGTGTATTTTCAGATATTTTTCACAAAAAAATAAACGTTTTTACAAAAAAATAGGCTGTTACCGGCGCTACAGAAATTTTAAAATCTATCTACATACCATTTCATTGGATTTATTTTAAAACTGTGCCGCCAATGTCTTGCAACTCACTGGGGGACTTCCTGAGGTCTAGCTAAGCAGCTAGTAGCAGTTACAAAGCACCGCGGAGCGGACAGCACCGCTTGACCCTTGCCATAGCAGCAGTAGACAACAGACACAAACTTGTTAATTAGTGTAATTACTGCATATGTAAACATTGACATAGTTTTTTAGGACTTTTTTAAATATAAACATTCCTTGTTTTTTACGTTTTAAAATGTTTGTGCTCATTAGCAATTTAGTATTATCGTTGATTTAATCCACGACACTAACTATGTACCACTGGCCTCAAAAAGTTACCCAGGTTAGTTTCCAGGTTATCGGAAAATTCCATTTCAAATTTCGCAAAAATGGTCTATAAAATAATATTATTATACAATACTATACAGTACAACTTTATTTTTCAGGGTAAAACCATTCAGAGAGAAATTGGTCTACCTTTTAAATTAGTGTATGCCTTCGACTAGTAGGAGTAGTACTACTGACACTAGCCTAGGCAATATTTTTGCTTTATATATATAAAAAAAAATAGCAGACTAAAGGGCAAGGTCTAATGCACTTAAAATAATACTATAGAGTAGTAGGGTACTGTAGCTTTTTAGTAGCAGTACGTTTTAAGACTTTTACTACTGTACTCCTACTAAGCCTAGGCCGGTCCCATAGAGAATTATTTTTGTCATTGCGAACAGCCATCGGTGCAAAGCACCAAGGGAGAACTTCCTTGCAAGTTTTGGTTAAGCCTTCTAGGCCACCTAGGGCATAGAGGCCTAGGCTTACTTTAAA